TCAAAGTCAAGATGTACTGATTTCCTGACTTTGTTTTTGGGAGAAGACCTACAAAATCAATGATTTTGTACGCAAATGGTTCCCCTGAAGCCGGGATCGGATGCAATGGAGCGGGAAGATTAACCTGGTTGGGTTTTCCACTGACCTGGCAAATGTGGCAAGAACGACAATACTTGGTTACATCAGTTTTTAACCCTGGCCAAAATAAGTGATACAGAATACGATGGTAACAGAGAAACTGTCATGTGCAAGACTGAGTACTTGGGGTCAAAGTTTTTGCGGTACAAAGTCCAGCCAAGATCACTAGATGAGGGAGGATGCCATTTAGGCATTAACACGTCATTTTCAATGCTGTAAACACGGGGATTCTGATCGCTGGCCAGTTTTGTGGCCAGAGTTGGGTCATTCTGTTGCACATGGAAAAAAATCTGTTTTGTTTGCCTCAAAAGACAGGTCAGGTGTAGCAGGTGGCAGGCTATCAGACACACATTTTTCAGTTTTTTCCACAGGCAGTTCAGCTTTCTCAGGAACAGCTTCAGAACATAGAAAAGAGTCAGAGAAGTCAACATCACCGTATTTGTTAGGGGTTGTTCAAATTACAAATTGTGCAAACAAAAACAAGATATTGAAAATAAGCAGACCTCAGTGCAACGAAATGTCTTTCCAACACTGGCAAGCACAAAGACCAACTTTAACATTAAAAGGTGTAAAAACAAGTACAAGATGTTGAAAATAAGCAGACCTCAGTGCAAAAAAGTGTTTCCTACACTGAAAAGCACAAAGGAAAACTTTAACATTAAAAGGTGTTCAAACAAGTACAAGATATTTACAATAAGCAGACCTCAGTGCAACAAAGTGTCTTTCCAACAAAGACAACCGCAAAGACCAACTTTAACGTTAAAAGGTGTTCAAACAAGTACAAGATATTTACAATAAGCAGACCTCAGTGCAACAAAGTCTCTTTTCTAAACTGAAAAGCACAAAGGCAAACTTTAACATTAAAAGGTGTAAAAACAAGTACAAGACACTGCAAATAAGCAGACCTCAGTACAACAAAGTGTCATTCCAACACTGACAAGGACAAAGGCCAACTTTAACATTAAAAGGTGTAAAAACAAGTACAAGATGTTGAAAATAAGCAGACCTCAGTGCAAAAAAGTGTTTCCTACACTGAAAAGCACAAAGGAAAACTTTAACATTAAAAGGTGTTCAAACAAGTACAAGTTATTTACAATAAGACGACCTCAGTGCAGGAAAGTGTCTTTCCAACAATGAAACACGCAAAGGCTAACTTTAACATTAAAAGGTGTAAAAACAAGTACAAGACATTGAAAATAAGCAGACATCAGTGCAACAAAGTGTCTTTCCTACACTGACAAGGACAAAGACCAACTTTAACATTAAAAGGAGTAAAAACAAGTACAAGACATTGAAAATAAGCAGACATCAGTGCAACAAAGTGTCTTTCCTACACTGACAAGGACAAAGACCAACTTTAACATTAAAAGGTGTTCAAACAAGTACAAGACATTGAAAATAAGCAGACCTCAGTGCAACAAAGTGTCTTTCCAACACTGAACAGCACAACGGCAAACTTTAACATTAAAAAGTGTAAAAACAAGTACAAGACATTGAAAATAAGCAGACCTCAGTGCAACAAAGTGTGTTTCCTACACTGAAAACCACAACGGCAAACTTTAACATTAAAAAGTATAAAAACAAGTACAAGATATTGACAATAAGCAGACCTCAGTACAGCAAAGTGTCTTTCCAGCACTGACAAGGACAAAGTCCAACTTTAACATTAAAAGGTGTAAAAACAAGTAGAAGATATTTACAAGAAGAAGAATTCAGTGCAAGAAAGGGAGGTGAGGGTGTGTGTGTGTGTGTTTGTGCGGGGGGCGGGGGTTCTCACCTTCCACTTCACTGACATGCATCACCATCCAGTTCTTCATGAGAAGGGGGGGGGGGGTTGAGAGGGCGATGTACTCACCTTTACTGACACGCTTGGTATCAATCAATCAATCAATCAATCAATCAGTCTTTATTTATAAAACACTTTTCATACAAAAAATGTAGCACAAAGTGCTTTACATAGTTAAAAACAGCCCACCCCCCCTTCCAACTCACTCCCCACGCTCTCATTAAAATAAATGATGTGAATACACACATATTCCCCCCCCCCTCCCCCCACACACACACACACACACACACACACACACGCGTACACTTAAAGAGTAAAAATTGGGCTGGGTTCGCATGAGCCAAGTGAGGAAACACTATAACAGGGAGCCGTCTGCACCGGGAGCCGGTCACAGACCGCAGCCTCCAGGCTGGGCACACAGCAGGAGGGAGGCAAAGGAGCCCCCCAGCCAGGCTGAGAGGACCCCCAGAGACCCAGCAGCCACGGTCGATCACAAACCCGGTGCAGAGAGCCCCCTCCGAGGAAACACTGGAGATATGACACAATAGGATATACAGTGGGGCAAAAAAGTATTTAGTCAGCCACCGATTGTGCAATTTCCCCCACCTAAAATGATGACAGAGGTCAGTAATTTGCACCAGAGGTACACTTCAACTGTGAGAGACAGAATGTGAAAAAAAATCCATGAATCCACATGGTAGGATTTGTAGAGAATTTATTCGTAAATCAGGGGCCTGTTCTTCGTACCGCGCTAAGTGAGTTAGCTGGATGAGATTGTTGACGATTTCGCGTGATCCTGGATCGTTCGGTTCCCCGAAGCCCATCCGGGACTTGCTGTCATAGCAACAGAGCCGTAAGCGTAAACCTGCTGGGGAGCAGGTTTACTTTATGTAAACAGGATTAGATCGCGGCCACGCAGGTATGTCCGCGTCATTCATACGAAAGCAACAGCGATATTCCACTACTGTTTCACCATAAATAAATAACATCAATGTAACTAAAGATAATGCAGCACTTGATCCTTTTATTGATTTCACACAGATACATACAGGTCATTCCCTAAAAAAGGGAAATGTACTATTAACATTCTATTACATGTATGTGATTATTACAGATGTAATTCATATTTCAGAGTAGTAATTGTAAATTACTTCGTGTAATCAAGATGAGAGACCACGGCTATAAAAGCGAAGGTGGATTTGGGAAGCCTGTCGCAGCCATGTCCTGTCCGTTTACGCGAGCAACCCATTGCGGAAGGTGCAAGATTGATAAGGAGAGTCCTCAGAATTCAGCGTATATTGCGGGACAGACAGGATCCTTTAGCTCAGCGCGACAGTGTGCTCATAGAGAGATATCGATTTTCCCGTGAGGGTATTATTTACTTAACCAACTTGTTGACGAGGGGGTGCAGGACCACCACCTGTCTTTTTTTTTGCTCTGCCCTTTTCTTGGTTGCTGTTATGAACAAACAAACAGAGTATTCCAGGGTCTCTTTCCAAGAGACGACAAGCAATATAAGTGATAAATATTACCATTCTGTAGAATATTCTTATATTTCACTTTTACTTGTTCCCATGTTCTAGTGGGTCCTGTTGTGGCTCTAATGTGAAAGGGGATATAATATAACATATTATAATATAATATAATGTAATATAATATTGGATAATATAGTGTGATATGATAAATCTACCCTACCACCTACTGGTGTTGGCCAGAGGGGCCGATGGCGCAATATGGCAGCCTGGCTTCTGTCAGTCTGCCCCAGGGCAGCTGTGGCTACAACCGTAGCTGCCTCCACCAGTGTGTGAATGTGAGAGTGAATGAATAGTGGCATTGTAAAGCGCTTTGGGTGCCTTGAAAAGCGCTATATAAATCCACTCCATTATTATTGTTATTATTGAATTACTTACGAGTTTGATTTGTCAGCAACTTTCTGCCAGCCCTCTCTCCTTGCTTTTGCAGTGTTCCCTTGCGTTTTAATTAAACTCTGAAACTCCTGAAATCCCTCACTCAAGAGTTCTTGCTCTGCTGCCGAAAAATACCGAGCGCGCTCCTTCGACATTTTCGCCGACCAATCAAAGGGTTGCCGATCAATGTTTCTACTGTCGATGCGTAGCCCCTGTTAAGCCACCCAGTGATCTCACATTACTTCATCCAGCTATACTAATCGTCAACAACAGGTGTGTTCGGGGAACCGGAATAGCGAGCTCAGAGTTAGCGCGATGATTTGGTCTTGGATGTTTCATTTGATCTTGGATGTAGTAAGCGACGTACGAAGCACAGGGCCCAGGGTGGAAAATAAGTATTTGGTCAATAACAAAAATACAACTCAATAGTTTGTAACATAACCTTTGTTGGCAATAACAGAGGTCAAACGTTTACTATAGGTCTTTACCAGGTTTGCACACAGGTTAAGATACTTTAAGTGACCTATTTGGGTTTAAAAATTGTACTGATATCTGGAAGGCAAAAGAGCATCAGGCAGGAAATCTATGGAGCAGTCATCCTGATAACCTCAGCCACATCCCTCTTACTTTGTTTAAGGGTATTTTATTCACTTAGTACCACATGACTGTGGCCTTGTGTTATACCCACTCTGCTGCAGTGATGCTGCAGTCAAACACAAACATTGTGATTAGACATTCAAGAAGAGCCTCTTAAAGATACTCTGTGTCTCTTGACCTAAACACATAATCTGGTTAAATCCGATTTATGTTCATTAATGCCCCCAGTGTAAATTAAAGTAATAAATTGGTTACTGATTAATTACAGAAGTACGTTGGTGACCATAAAGATGTAAGCCTTTGACCATCGGGATAAAATGTGGTTGGAAAACTTAACAATCATTGATAAAGATTCATCAGTAGCTCGAGCAAGACCAAATTGTTCAGTTTGCCTTTTTGCTCCCCATCAGGTCACTTTCACCATGTGACAAAAACAACTCCCCACTGTACACACTCAAGCCACCAACAACTTTCTAAATCCTCGATAAAAATCTGACAGGTTGCAATGATGCTCCAAATAACTTTTTGTAAAAGAAATACACAGAAAATATTGTGAAAATTGGTTTATTTTATATCTCCTAGTTTTAACTGAAGAGATAAAAACATGTATGAAATATCACAAACTGCAGTATTGTATAAATGCTTACATCCTGCTGATGCAATGGAGACATCTTCTAGTGACGGTGTACATCCGTGTGTGTGTGAGGAGGTTCCTAAACTCACTGACATAGAAATGGATGTCCACAACTCCCGCTGTGCAGGCGGGGTCAGGACCCTCCTCACGTTGGGTGAAGAGGGGTGGTGCTGGGGCCGGTCAGATATAAAGTGCTGAGAGTGGATCTTTGGTCCTCTGTGCAGCTCTGTCCACTCTCAGCTGTTCCAGGATTGCTAAAGACACTGCCCTGCAAAGCAATAACACAAGAAAGTTGTCATTTGAACACAAAACAGATTTTCATTGTTGGTAGTTGCAGTATGTTGTTAAACACAATTTAAATCCAACATACACACATGAAAACTATAAATAAACTTAAACCTACAGTGCTGCTGACATCAAACCATGATTTATACCAACTACTGGAAGAATTTAGTCTTCAAGACAGTTTTTAGTCAATGTGAGGTGATAACTTACATAGTTCGAAAACAGCACCACTCTCCAGTTTGTCCTTTGGTCATCCATCCTTCTCATCAGGTCATGGTAAGGCTGTCGTCTGGGTGGGGTGTTGAGTGTCTGAAGTGCTGAATGCTGGGAGATGAAAAGTGTAAAGCAGCTTTATTGAATTTAAAGACAAAAAAAAAATGAATTCACAGATCACTGATTTGTTAAATTTACTTTTCTTCTCATGTGTTTTTATCTTACCTCTGATCCCTTAGCCACAGGCTATACCTTATGTAAAAAGAGACTACTGTCAGTTCACTACATCATTTTTAAACCTATTCTACTTATTTGTGTTGACATTAAGTATGGGCTGTCATGGCTAACCAATGGACACACCTGCAGCCGGAGTTCTGGCAAGCAAAAGGTGACAGTTTATTTACAAAACGGGAATCCACACACGCGCTCTCCTCTTCAGCACAATAACCGCCGCTACTCATGCTGCCACACTCAGGGATCACAGGGAAGGGTACATCACCAGCTCCGGGGAAATGTGTACACAGAGAGCACGATTAGATCCAACAGGCAAAATACACAGAGAGAGTTTGCTCAAGCTGTGATTCAATGTTCCAGCGAAGACTGCTTCGTGCCGAACACTCATACGGAGCTCCAGCAGATCAGCAACACATGGAGGCAATCACCGCAGGTGCATGGGTCAAGAGGGAGAGCCCACAATGAGCTGCGCCCAGGCAAGCAGGAGAGATTGATTTTCAAAAACACATTTATTCACTTAATAGTGAATCATACAAAAATTCTGCTCAATCCAACACATTGCTAAATAAAAGTTCAGAGTTATTTAAAGTAAAGAGACTACCTTTATAGTCCCAAAGATTTTGAAAAACATCCAGGCCATCCATTTTGAAATAATATTTATACTCTAACATCACTCTTGCTCTTAACATACTCTTGAAGAGCTCTACACAATCAATATTTCGTCCATTATAAATCTTATATTTTCTACTCAAGTAAATTACCAACTTTGCTTGACCCAAGAAAAAAATGATACATCGTCCCTTTTTCTTCTTCCTTTTGTCATATGAAAAGCCAAAAATAAAACACTCTTTTGAAAAAAAAAATTCTACAAAGGATTTCCAAATACCATTAAGTACTGAAAATGAATCCATTAACCTGAAACACTGTACGAAACAATGAAAAATAGTTTCTCTCATTGAACAAAAAGGACATTTATCTGAAACCCCATGATGGACACAAGAGGCAACTGGTGAAGGCAATTGTAGCTTGCCTTCACCAGTGTATGAATGTGAGAGTGAATGAATAGTGGTATTGTAAAGCGCTTTGAGGGGTCCCGAAAAGCACTATATAAATGCAATCCATTATTATTATCATTATAAGAGCATTAACCGCACTGATACCATGTAAAATTCGCCACTGTAAATCACCTGTGTTCTTAGTCAATGGTGGCTTGTACAGCATCCCCCATACAGGTGTCACATCAAAACCAACCTTAAAATGTTCTCTCCAAGGCGTATGATTTTTACCTTTTAACTTTATTCCAGGAGCTTTACCATTTTCCATACTCGACAAAGCTTCCTGCAGTTCTTGCAGAGTTGAGGCAGGCTCCAACACGATACTGTCGTGCTCTGAGACCTCTGGCAAGTTACTGAGAAACTCTTCACTAGCCACGGAATCTTCTCTAAACTCGCTGACATACAGCTTTGAAAAATAATCAACAGCCTTTTTCTGTAATTCAGTGGGTTCAGTCAGCTCTTTCCCATCCTCAGATTGAATACAGTAAATACGGCGATTCTGTCCATTGTTTTTTTCCAAACTAAAGAAGAATTCTGTCAAGGCTCGGCTGTGTGGCAGGCAGGAGGAGGACCCAAACGCAAAACTCACAGACACGGGGATGAACTCAAAATCACAGCTTTAATGCTGGAATGGCAGAACATAGGAAATACAAAACTAAACTGGGAAAAGTAAACTAACATACGCAGAGAGACACAGGGAGATCCACACAACATGAGGGACGACGTCACACTGAACAGAGGGAGACACAGACAGAAATACACAGAGGGTTAACGAGGGAAGTGGGAACACAGGTGACACTGATAATCATAACGAGACAGGGCGGGGTGAACTGAACACTGACGGGAGAGGTGAAACAGGAAGTACAGGAGGAGAGAGAGCACGAGTAGAACACCAACGTAACAGGCAGGGGAGACATGGAATAAACACGAAAGGGGACGAGGGCTCATAGATACACAGAGGGGCACACAGGGGGTAAAAGCCATGAAGGGAAAACACTTAGGGAACAACACAACAGGGCAACTCAGAAAACATGGTCTAAATAAGGAACAAAATACAAACATACAAGGAAACTAAGAACACTGGGCCAACATGGCCCAGGACCATGACAGTACCCCCCCCTCAAGGGCTGGCTCCAGACAGCCCAAACACAGAAAACAAAACCAAACAGAAAACAACCCAGGGCGGGCGGTGGGGGCCCAGGACGGAGGGCACGGAACAGAAAACAAAAGAAGAGCACAGCAAACACCGGAGCCCAAGAAAACAACCCAAAACACAGAGCAGTTCAGGGGGCCGACCGTGCGGAAGGCAACGGCGGAGACGCGGAAACAGTTCAGGAGGCCGACCGTGCGCAAGGCAACGGCGGCGACGCGGAAACAGTTCAGGAGGCCGACCGTGCGCAAGGCAACGGCGGCGACGCGGAAACAGTTCAGGAGGCCGACCGTGCGCAAGGCAACGGCGGCGACGTGGAAACAGTTCAGGAGGCCGACCGTGCGCAAGGCAACGGCGGCGACGTGGAAACAGTTCAGGAGGCCGACCGTGCGCAAGGCAACGGCGGCGGCGAAGGAGACGACGGAGCAGTTCAGGAGGCCGACCGCGCGGAAGGCAGCAGCGGCCCTCCAGTCTCAGGCGTGCTGGCCATGGCCTGGTGGGCGCAGGGCCAGACGAGGCAGAAGCGGAGGCTGGACCAGACGAGGCAGAAGCGGAGGCTGGACCAGACGAGGCAGCTGACGAGGATGCTGGTGGACCAGACGAGGCAGCTGACGAGGATGCTGGTGGACCAGACGAGGCAGCTGACGAGGATGCTGGTGGACCAGACGAGGCAGCTGACGAGGATGCTGGACCAGACGAGGCAGCTGACGAGGATGCTGGACCAGACGAAGGCTCTGAGGAGGCTGAGGGCGGGCCAGGCGAGGTTGCAGAGGCTGAGGCCGGGCCAGGCGAGGTTGCAGAGGCTGAGGCCGGGCCAGGCGAGGTTGCAGAGGCTGAGGCCGGGCCAGGCGAGGTTGCAGAGGCTGAGGCCGGGCCAGGCGAGGTTGCAGAGGCTGAGGCTGGCCCAGGCGTAGCAGAAGCACAGGCGGATGTAGCCGGGCCAGGCGATGACGAGGCGGTCGCAGATGGCGGCTGGACAGGCTCCTCGGGCCCTCCAGCTGATGCGGCGTGAGGCTGAACGGGCCCCTCGGACCCTCCAGCGGAGACAGGAGGCTGAACGGGCCCCTCGGACCCTCCAGCGGAGACAGGAGGCTGAACGGGCCCTCGGACCCTCCAGCGGAGACGGAGGCTGAACGGGCCCCTCGGACCCTCCAGCGGAGACGGGAGGCTGAACGGGCCCCTCGGACCCTCCAGCGGAGACGGGAGGCTGAACGGGCCCCTCGGACCCTCCAGCGGAGACGGGAGGCTGAACGGGCCCCTCGGACCCTCCAGCGGAGACGAGGAGGTGCTGGCCGGGCTCACTGGAACCCCAGCGGACGAGGTAGATGGCGGCGTGGGAGCCGCGGAGTCCTGGATGAGCTCATCCGAGCTCCCAGCAGGAGCTGATGTAGAGCCAGAGAGGTTTGGGACCCCTGGCTGAATGTTAAGCTGGCTAAAAAACCGCACTGCTACGGGGAACTGGGCCAAAGGTTCAGGTGCGAGCTGAGCTGCCGGACACACGGGGACCTGAGCTGCCGGACACACGGGGACCTGAGCTGCCGGACACACGGGGACCTGAGCTGCCGGACACACGGGGACCTGAGCTGCCGGACACACGGGGACCTGAACTGATGTCTGTAGTAACGGTGGTGGTGAGAGTGGAGTAGGTGGTGGAGTTAATGACTCCACAGGGGAATGAACTAGAGGTAGTGACGGTTGTGGTGCTGGTGGTTGAGTGGGTGACTGTGCTACTGGAGGCTGCACTGGAGGCTGCACTGGGGACTGCACTGGGGACACAGGAGACTGCACTGGGGACACAGGAGACTGCAGTGATGGTTGTAAAGTTGGAAACCGAGCTGACGATAAGGCCGATGATTCCTCTACCAACTGAGCTATTGACTGGGCTAAAGATTGAAATAAGGTTTGTAGTAAGTCAGGCTGTGGATGTGACTGTGCTATGGGAAACGAGGCTGAATGTGGTGGAGGTGGCGACTGAGCTTCGGGCCGGGCGGCTAACAGAGATTCATGGCGAGCCACTTCTAGCGACTCTGTAGGCCTTAAGCTGTCCATCTTAGGAGTAGCAGTCTCTAAAACAGTCATTGCACAGGAAGATCCAGGTTTAGCAGAGTCAGAGTCTGTAATACCGGGCACAAAGGGATCCGTTATGGACACAGGAGCATTCACACAGACCGTTTCTAAATATACAGGTTGGGGAGCAGCATAGTCCAGGAGTGGAGACACACCACTCACAGTCTCACACTCAGCAGGTACAGAGACCGCAGAACTGTTAACTTCACAGTGCTGTTCACAAGTATGCGGCTCAAAAACGGTCTTTTGCTTCTCTACGGTGAAATAATCTGTCTGTGAGTTAATTGCTGCTGACCTGGGAGGAGCACAGGAAACATAGTCGCTCTCAAACACGGGCGTGAGGGTAGGCACTGCAGGACCAGAATTAACAGACCCAGAGTTAATGGCCTCAGGGATGACGCGCACGGGGCTTATAGTGCCAGGATTCTTTAATTTAGCATGAACAGCAGTCTCTAGAGTGGTGATGAAGTCAGTCTCGTGCGTAATAGAAGCGGAGGCGAACGTAGAAACAGTATGAGGCCTAGAAACACGGTCATATTCAACCTTTTTGTTCTTCTCTGGTGAGTTACGGACGTGAAAAACAGCGGACTCAGAAAACGAATACTGTCCGAGACGGTCGGGCTTGGAACTCGCATGGAAAAAACAGTCAGATTCACTCACCACCGGAGCTTGCTCAGTAGCTTTAGCGTGGCGACGGCGTGAGCGTCGTGTTTTCCCGGGAACTGTGCCGTGAGTTCCCGAGGCAGTGGGCGCAGGCACTTCGGTGATGTCGGCTGGCTGAGCCGATGACGAACCAGGCTGCGCCGGAGAGACAGGGAGCTTGTGCAGCTCCGAGCGTGGAAGTCCCAGGTAGAGCGCAAAAGCCTGCAGCGGGGTAAGGCCGTTTGTCGTCGGCTCGAAACCACTCCCCGACCGCCGAGTAACCCTCTTCTTTGCGCGGGACGTGGGCGGCGACCGGAGAGGCGAACCAGAAGTCGAAAATGCCGGAGGAGTTGTG